TGTATATGTAACGTCTTTTCTCTCTTATTTATATATCTGATACATATACGTTACGTCTTTCCTTTGTCTCTCTTGTTTGTATATCCAATCAAGTTTATACACATAACGCCTTTCCTACTACCTTCTTACTCATGAAAGCACGCGTAATCACAACGGAAGAAAGTACACTTTCTTTACATCTCCAACCCTCCGARTGAAAATAYTCCATAATTTGTATTCTAATTGTGATATTTATCATTCTTTATCTGTGTCTTCTGTTTCATCGGTGATTAGTATGAGCTTTGTTATATGGAATAAATCTGTATTTCTCTTTTTTCCTGTTTTTATGTTATATATTGAGTCCGATATCTGACCTATTATCTCATATGTTCCAGCTGTGCCTTTCACATTATTCAAATTCAAATAATACGAAGTATCGTTAAAACCGTCGGTGATTGTGAGATGCTCGTTATTATTAATTAAAGAAATTATGTAAATTGTGTAAAAAAATATAAATTATTTAATAAATTTAAAATGAATATACATATAGAAGTACATTAAACGACCATAAGCATACCTTACTTGTAATTATATTCTTTATATACTCTTTTTATTTTAAATATTATAATATATTGTGCCTATACGTGTAATATATCTGAATTATAATTAATCTATCACTTATGCGTGTTTTTAATTTTATAATATTTATCACAGTTTTCGCAGTATAAATGTAATAATTGTCATAATTAGTACTACTTTGATTAAGGTATGATTTATATGGTCCTTATCAGTTATAGCTAGTCTTAACTTACCTTGATTTTCATTTCATCCACTCTCTTAATTTTTCCAAGATTAAAGTTAATTTAATTTTCTGCCATTGTGGCTATTTTGTATAATCATATAATTATGAAAATATTATCCTTTAGTAGTAAACCTATTCAATAGATTGCATTGATTGAAATCATTATCATTATAAAATAGCATTATAACAATAGTAAACAAAATTATAATTTTGTTCCTGTATCTAAATTAAGCAATTGCTTCATAATTTCATATGTAGTAAAACTGACTGCAACCATAGGTACACCACGAATATAATTTATACTCATTCCACGATATAATCCTTTTATAATACCACTTTCATTATATGTGAGTTTCATAGTTGATAGCATACTAGAGCTGTTGAAAAAAAAAAAGAACATTAACTTATGGTTATTATTTAATAATAATTTCATAAAAGAAATATAAAATATAATTTTATAGAGTAAAAAAAAATTCACTTTTTATGTATATTAAGAATATTAACCTATATTTATGAGTAGCTGGATTCATCATAGCTAATTGCATACGTCTCCTTGTAACATCTAAAGGATAAGAAAAACTTTGTGCTGCTGCTCCTGCAAGCCCTCCACAAATAACTTTTGAAGGTAATGTTAAAACAAGGCCGCCTAAATGCAATAGGAAGTGAAAATGAATAGTTTTGTGCCAAATGTACCACCAGTAATACACGTGATATGAAACGCGTTAATGAATGAATGCTAAATACTGAATAATAACTGAAATAAATATTTTAAGATAAACTACATACCAGTATTTCTATCACATTTAGAACAAGTATAATTTGGTATATACTTCATACATAAATATTTCAATTTTTCAAATGTGTAAAATGAAAAACCTGCGTATGGAATCATTCCGACAATAGTTGGTAAAAACCCTCTATATAAAGCTCTAAAGCCACCTTCCTAAAATATAATTAGTAAATCAAATATAAAACTTATGCTTTTACATGATATATAATACTTACATCCTTAAAAATTGAAGCACCAGTATGAATAATCCCAGTATAAACGTGTTCTCCTGTAACTTGGAAAGCAAGACGTGCTCTAATTGTATCAAGCGGATATGTTAACGTTGCTGCTGTGACTCCAGCTGCAGATCCAGCAAAAAATTTCTCAACGTGTCTACGCTTTTGAAACAATGATCTTAAATACTGAAAGAAATAATGAAAAAATATAAATTATACATTTCTTCGTTCATACGTAAAAAGAATAAATTAATTAAGTTTAATTACTTTAGAATAGAATTCAAATGACGTAAATTGAATTGCTGCATATGGAAAAATTCTGATCATTTGAGCCCAGTTACCTTTATATAGAGCAAAAACTGTTTCCCGTTTAACAATTTCTTTTAAACCAGAGAAAACACCTACAATAATATAACATATTAAATAATATTAACTCGCAAAATAAATGAATTAATGAATTAAATGAAATATTTTTTACCTAAATGTTTATAATGCTTGTTGTGTGCTTGCAGTAATATTTTAATTCTGTCCAATGGTGCGACGGTTGTTTTCGAACAAATACCCGCTACACCTATATAGAAATAAATTTTCCATATTGTATCATTAAAATAAAAATCTTAAAGATTAATTTCTTATCGTGTTGACAATAAATATAAGTACATATCATTCAATAAAAATATAACTAGGGCAAAGTACTAATATTAACAATATTCTGCTAATGTTTTAATAAAAATTATTCATTAATTTAATATCTTACCACCAGCCACTAGACTTTTAATAAAAAATTCGTAATCCTTTTTTTTTTCAATACGAAGTTCCATTTTGAATAACTATTAGTAAAAAAAAAAATAGAAATCTAAGAAAATTGATCACTTCCAGTCGACCTAATAAACCGTATTACTTGTTGTACGGTAGTGATATCTATGCACATGTGCTCTGGAGAGTTTAAAAGCAACGTGAAAGTGTGACGTCTCAGCCACCTCTCGCTAGTAACATCAGAGGACAGCACGAGCACCAGAATATGGTGTCCTAGCTATCTCCTGCTAGTAACGTTAGAGAGCAGCACAAACATCAGCGGCGTAGAGGGTTTCTCTAGAGTAAAAATGAAATTAGACTAAACTTTCTTTTGTTACTTTTATTTTTAGGACGCGACTTGTTTTTCTTTGCTGTACTACTACTTTCCTTCTGTACTGTACTGTACACTATTTTCCTTCTCTCTCACTAGTAAATCGCCCGCTGTAAAATCATATTTACGGTGGGAATCCCTGATCTTTACAATACCACATACAAGGATACCTGGACTCCACATACCGTTTTAAAAGTAATGGTACTAAAAAAACTGAGAAAAATAGAAAATAGAGGGGCTATATTTTATGTAGAATTAACAAAATTAATATAAAACTACATTTTTGTTAATTAGTAACTTTTATTACTATTTATAGAAAAATAAAATTCTCTAGATTAGATAAAATATAGTCCTATCCTATTTTGTTTCTGTTTTAGCCAATGAGACCCATAGAAGATTCTTCTTCCATGCCGAATCCTATTGGTCAATGAACAATTACTATTCTAATTCTCAGTTATGATACTACTGATTACAAGTAATCTATGCATTATTAATTTTAATCTTAACTTACAATTAAAAAAACTATTTTTGAAACGTATTATTTTGATTTAATGATTAATAATCGGTAGCTTTATCATAGTAATTCAATGGCAAAGTTCTAAGAAAAAAATATTTTTCAGTTTATCACACCAAGCTATGTTAATTTGTATATATTATACATATATATTGATATAGGTACGTTCGTTCATTATTGATCATAACATTGATTTAAAGATAAGTGATATTCTGATTCTGACGCAATTTATTAAAAGAAAGCTTCATCGAAATTATTTCTTTAATAGTAGCTGATTATAGTCAATGGTAGTATTATTTAAGTGATTGTGTATCACGTAATTTTCTAGTTGAAAATTTATTGATTTTAAATTATTATAATAAAAACAATACACATTGTAGTGAATAACTTCAAGTAATTCATTTATATATAATATATTTTATAAATATTATAAATATAGAATTATATTTCATTTCATCATGATTTAAAATAATGAAGTAATCCTAAAGTATTATCTCTCAATTCAAGTATAATTCTATTATTTAATTTGTTTTTTGTTATTTATAAAAATATCTTAATTAGATAATGTAAAATTAATTTCAAACGCATGGTATTCACTTTCAGAAATGGACCAGGCAGCTCACATGAATAGCATAAGCAAAACATGCAATGAATTTAAGAAGCAATATGATTCCTGCTTTCATGTGTGGTTTTCTGAGAAATTCCTGGAAGGTGACAAAAATGATTCCACGTGCGCCAAATTACTTGGAGTCTATCAGCAATGTCTTAAGGTAATTACAATCATAATTTATTTTAATATTTTATGTTAGATTTTTCTACAACTTGTGGTGATCTATTGTATCCGTCATGGAGATGTGCAGTGAATTAAAAAAACATTATGATGCTTGTTTCAATAAATGGTTTGCTGAAAAATTTTTAAAAGGAGATACAGATGATTCAATGTGTGCTTCTTTTCTTAAAGTATATAAAGCTTGCGTTATGGTAAGTTATTAATTAATGGTTTATTAAACAAAAAAGTTATAACAGGATTGTTATGAACCATATCAAATAAAACTTTTACTTTCTCCATATATCTTTTAATATACTTTATAGTATATAATGTATACGTAATAATATGCTGTGTGTATAAAATGTAAATAAATATAAATAAATTTCAATAATTCTCAATGATACATAGTTTATTTAATACAATAATATATTTTTTTTTTTTTTATTACAGGAAGCTATGAAAGAACAAAACATTGAATTAAAAGAAATTGAAGAAAATCATTTAGGAACCGAAAAAGAAAAGAAGCAGCCAGGTTGATAATAGGATAATAGTAAATTTATATATTTATTTTCAAATAAACAAACTCTTGCAACAATAAGATAATGACAGATATTCTATGTATTATATAACTTATAATTATATAGGCAAACCAATAGATTAAGTCTTTCCCAGTTTAAACATTACACATAGAAACATTTTATTAAATATATCATTAATATTTTTATGTTTTTTACTTTTATTCTATATTTTTTGTAAAACACTATTAAACAAAATGTTATTATATAACATTTTATGTACTTATGTGAAATTCTAATATCTTTGTTTTAATAGATTATATGTGTGCTGGATTTATTTATGCATACATTTTATAAAACATTCCTTTTATTTGTAAAAATATATATGTAGAGTTTAAATTATGAACTATAGTTTATACGGTTCTGTATTACTGCATGTATAAATACATGCATATAATATATATATCTTGTAGATATATATATATATAATATTTTTATGTTAAATAGTTAAGTACTTCATTCAATATTCCTCATTTTTATATAATACATTTTATGTAAATTCAGCAAATTATAAAAATTATAAAAATGCTATAATAATTATATTATAATAATAATATAATGATCTTATAGACTTGTGAAGTACAAAATATGTTGTAGTATGACTGTAAAAACATTATATTATATAATTACAATATGGAATGAATAATTTATTATATATGAGAAATTGGGATACTTATCAAAAAACATAGTTAAGAACGAAATAGGAAATGGAATATTTAAAATGAATATACAGAGGTAAAGAATTACAACAGTAATGATAAAACAAGAATTTGTACTTCGATGGATAGGAATGACTAATAAGAAATTATATTAAATATTTCAAATGTTTTTATGTGTTTTGGTTGTAACTAAAATTGTTTATTATTAATTCCTTCTTAACTTTCTTTTATTCTTGTTCACTGTCACTTTCACTCTCTGAATGTTCCCTCTTTCCGGGTTTCTGTAATTAATAATATCAATTAGTAAAATATTTACTCTACGCTATATGTTTATCTGTATTGATATTATTGTAGACATACTTTTTCTGTTGAACGTTCTTCTTCACTACTGGATTCATCTTCACTAATATACTCCTTACTCTTAAAAGAACTTCCAGACATAAGTTTACTAGGTGATACTTCACTTTTAGATTCCTTTTTCTTCTTCTCTTTCTCTTTTTCTTTCTCTTTCTCCTTCTTTTCTTTAGTTTTTCCACCATTTGCTTCATATTCTTTCATTGCAGCCAAATATTCTTTTTTAGCTTTAGCTGCTTTTTGTTCCCATTCCTTTTAAATCAATATTAACGTGAGTTAATACAGTGATATTAGAAAATTGTTAAATTTATTCTGGACAATTTCTACTTACAGATTTATCTTTTAATTCTCTCCACATTTCACCACCCTTTTTAGCTATTTCTGTAACTGCGATACCAGGATTTTCTGATTTAATTTGATCACGAGCACTATTTAACCATAACATAAAAGCCGTTGCTGGTCGTTTGGGTTTGTTGCTATCTTTTTCTTTCTTTGACTTGCGTGGTTTCCTTGGTTTTTCAGACTGTGTAAATAAAAATTTGTTCATATGTGTGAGGGTTACTTTAGAACAAGACTTTTCATAGTATGAGTGTAAGTTAATGGTAGTGAAAGAGAATAGAATTTTAACAATAATCATTTTATTACTTACTACTGTTTTGGCAGATTTAGATTTCTTTTCTTTTTTCTCTTTTTTCTCCTTCTTTTGACTACCACCTGATGCATCTGAATCTTCTTCGCTTTCAGAACTATTAGGGTCACTATCATATTCCTCTGCTACGTCACTTTCATCCTATATAAATCATATATTTACACATATAATATTATAATTATCTTAAAAAGAGAAATATATAAGAAATAAAATATAATCGAAATGTAACCTGAACAGGATTAAAATCTTCATCTGTAGATTCTTCTTCAGAATCTTGATTTTCATCGCCATCTCTTTCTTGTGCTTCAGCTTTAACTCTAGCCAAATATGCATCAGGTTCATCTTCTTGATCACTATCTCCAAAGTCATTATCGTAATTCAACTTGTCCTATATTAATAAAAATAATCAAATAAAAAAAAGTACATAATTATAAATTGATATAAAATATTATATAAATAATTTCATAAAATAATTATTATATTTATAATATATGCAAAGAACACCATCGTCATTTTTCTACTTACGCTCTTGCCTCTGTTCTTTACTCTCAATTTCTTAACAGTAATGAAATCGAAAAGTTTGCCATATTCTTCTTTTTCTATACTGCTAAATGTATGAACTACACCTGTATTTAATTCAATTTCAAAATCAAATGAACGTGTGGATCCACCACCACGTGCAAAGTTGACTGATGCTATTTCTTCAAATCGTATATGTATAGGTGGTTTATGAACATAAATAAATCCTCTTTCCAAAGGATATAAATATCCTGCAGCTGCTTTGAATGAACATCCTATTGCAGGGGTTCCAGAATGACTAAAACAAAACAAAAAAATACAATATTTAAATATTACGATATTCATTTTTTTTAAATAATTAAATAAAATTTCTTTTTTTCTTTTTTTTAATTAAATTTCGAATCTCATACCCAAGAAAATGTCCAGGTCCAGTTAATTTTCTATTGATAATAACTTTCATAACTTTACCAAGAACCTCATACGTAGGTCCAGATAATTCTTTTGTTAATTTTTCTTCATATTTGTCTTTCAATTCTTTTCTAAAAAATACAATAAATAATAAATAAATGATATAAATATTTGAAATATTATCATTGAGAAACTTACTCAGAAAATGGTAATTCAATAGAAGTTTCTTCTTCTTGATTAAATAATAAAACTAGGTAATGATACCTAGTTTGACCTTGTTTAATAGGTGGATCTAAACTGACCTAATACAATAAAAGAAGATAAATAGATTAAAATAAAATAAAAGATTTGTATTTTTATGTAGAAAAGAATCTTATATAAGAGAGATAGAACTTACCACAAAATACATTTGTCTGTTATCCTTGTGAGGTAGTAAGAATAGTCTAAGAACTGTTGACATCGGAATCTTATAGTCAAATGTTTTACCATGAAGTTGAAAGAAAGATTGAAATATTTTTATATCATAACGACCACTAAAAAATGATAGATAACAAATAAATTAGAACTATCAGATATGATAACTATATTGTTCTCATTTTTTATAATCATAACATTCTTACCGTGGTGTAAGACACTGGATTTCTCTAAAGATAGCAATGGCATCACCACTAACGCTAATAACAGAAGCTTTTTCCATAACTTGTTGATGAAATGCTTCAACGGGATCTTGGTCTGCACTATCACTAATAGGAATATGAAACCTCATTTCCATTAAACTAACTGGAGCGTCATCGTTCTATTGAAAGAATGTAAATTAATGTAAAATTTGTAAATATCTTAATACATATTACAGATCATATCATATAAATATCATAAGATATTGTTATATGTTCTTTAAAATGATTCTAAAACATACTTGATGAAATTCCAATGTTACTTCATTTTTTCCCGTATTACATTGTGAAACATCATACAGTGGAATTTCGAAAGCTGTATGATTTCCAACATCAAAGCTTAAGACAGAACCGTTGAATTTAGCTGTACCCCAATTCCAACCTTTTAAACTAAGTTCTTTTTCTAGCATATCCTTTTTATAATTTTGTGTAAAAAATTTAGCTATTTTTTCTTGGTCCTTCATAATACATATAAAAAGAAGAATACGAAATTTATTTTATTATTATTTGTATAATTATGAAATTTGATTTAAAAGTTTTAAATATACCCCTTCTTTAAATCCTCTAAACCTATGTAGAGTTCCATTTTTTAAAAATATGCGTAAACCCCAAGTTCCTATGAATTTTTGATAATTAACCATTTCCATTTCGCCAGCAGATATTTGTTCAACTTTGCCAGTTTTTTGGTTTTTGAATATAATATGTTGGTCAGTTAATTTCAATCTTCCAGGTGTCTAAAAAAATAATATAAGGAATAAACAAATTATTAATGTTTTAAGATAATGTATTCTATTTATATTCTATATATTATATCATATTTTTTATTTTCAGAATATTAAATAAATGTAAAACAATAAAATGAATTTAATAAGCAATACTATAATATCAAGTTTAATTACAATATTCCTAAGTAATATCGATATAAAAAGTAATTGTATTTTAAAGAATATAATTACCATTGCACCCTTAACCTCTGCAATAACATCAGGATATTCCAAGAAATCCATTTTTAACTGAGTCTTTGAAAGATTCTTCTTTCAATAATATTTTGTAAGATATTTTATCTACAAAATAATATAAAACATTATAAATGTCACTTCCAATATTTCAATTATAGACAAATTATAGATTCAAAGTTAACCTAACAATACCTACAACAATATCTCCTGCGTCTTCAAAGTTTTCGGTTATAGATCACTGTTCATAGTTATACTTAGATTGACCATATACAAATAATTAGTATATTTACTAAATGAATACAGTATGTACAACATATGATATATAATATCTCTATTAAATGTGTGATGCTGCAGAGAGGAGCTAGGCCTTTTTTGATTGGTGGATTATATTTGATTTTTACCATGATTGATTTTGACACTTACTCCTATAACACTAGATTAAAAAGAAATTGTTTTCATTCTAGTTTTTATACAATGTTTCATTCAAACACGTGCAATTTATATATTATATATTTACAAAATTAGTTTTTTAAAAATATCAATATATTTGTGAATGATCAATTTTTCGATTGATTTAATTCTCGAAGAGTAATCGAATATGTGATCGATTACATATTCGAGTTTTCGATTATATCGAATGATATTTGACAAGGATGGTATTCTATCTTTTTAACTCGTTTATTTATGTTTACATAGTTTGATAAAATTGACATGTATATGTGTATTGATATTGAACTGCATATATGTTGTTAGTTCTATAGGAGTGAACCGGAAACGTTCATGTTGTAACGGAGTGTATATTATTACTGTAGGTGTATTCATTGAGTCAAAAGTTTTTCTTTATAAAATAGTAAAGAAAAATAAACGATATAGTAAAAAGAGAATTTAAAGAAAATGCTAGTAACACAAGATCCGCAATGCGACGATGTTGTGGAGTCCGAACTTCAGATATTTCCAGAACTTAATATTTTTGGTACGTGTATTATGCATAACATGTATTATTACCTTGATGAATTTATAGATAACTAATCATTTTAAATAAAAGGATAATCGTTAAATAAATCAGTATTGAATAATATTATATGTTGACGTTTAATTCTTGCGATTCATTACTCTTTGTCATTGTTTGACACTCCTGACATGAGTTAGTTCTCAGTACGTATTCTAAAATTAAATCAAATGTATATTTACACGTACAATTAAATATTTAAATATTGCATATGAAACTATACATGATCGAACACACATTATTAAAATAATTCCTTAATAATAAATAAATCTTCAAATCTCTGAGACAAATAATATTTATCATTTTGTTACGTTAATTTAAAAGTTTAATCAAAAAATATATAAATAACTGTGATGATTCATAATTGTTAATAAGTAACTTTGATTTAATTTTTTTTTTTTTCTTAATTTACGTTTACGTTTATTTTAATTTGAATATGATTGAGGTTATATTTATGAAGATCGTTTGCCAAGGTTATTGACCTCTCTGAAAGCTTAAATTACAAGGATGTTCAACCCGTTCGATCGCATTTCATTTTCTCTATTACAATGATTATAAACAAATTTCAAATGTTGTTCAAGAAATACAATTTATTTTAATTTATTAACCTTTCCTTATATAAATAATAATATA